ATAATTGCATCCAATACAGCATAATATGCATGAGAACACCAATATTGTTTATAGTTTTCTGTTCTATTCATGTCAACACCTTGATTACAGATGTCATTTCCTCCAGCACCAGTYGTAACAGACACATGAAAACTTTTAAGTTTAATAGATTCTTTTCGTTTTCTTTTTGATGACATAATTACACCTAAACAATTTCAAAATAATAATTCAATAAATACCAAGCATATTCCAAAGTATAATTATGTTTAAAACAATATTATTATATTTGATAACTTTTATTACTGACCAGGTCCAGGTGTATTATGTGAATCATCAATATCATGTTTCAATAAAAACTGTATCACATTATTCCATAAGACATCAAATGATTTTTCATTTCTCATATTTTGAATTGTTTTTATCACAGCATTAATTTCAATAACAGCATTTCCAATTGTTCCTTCTTTTTTTTGCAATTTTTTACTCAATATATCTATTATTCCTAAGATTTCTTCAAAAATGAACAAATATAATACGAATGACATTTTTTTTAACATGTGCAGAAGACCTTTGAACAAAATGTCTTATAGTTATATTATACTCAAGTTATTATAGTCTACATAGTATACTTATATTAATATAAAATACAAAGTAATATATTAAATTATTACCAATTGCTTGAGCCACTTCTTTGTTTGTATCTTCATTTATTTCATTTTGTAAAATATTTACTATTACACCAAAACTATTATGTACTGCTTTACAATTTTTAAGACGACACGACCACCGCGTTTCACATAATCTAGAAATCGATAATGATTTTATTTGCATGGATTTCTGTAAATCTTGTAATAGCTTCTCTTTGCCAGGCTGTGAAAAATGCACATAAACTGCTTCTAGAGTATTAAAAAAGGTATTAGATACCTGTAAAAGATAATGATTAAATTGATTATAAAAAAGAATGGGTACATATATTATAAATTGTAACGTACATAAAAATGTATTAAATATTATTTAAGTATTTATTATTATTTGTTATGCACCTTAATAGTTCTACAAGTATTTGTTACAACCAAATTCAATTTATGGGCCATACAATGAATGAAAATTGCTTCAGGGTGAGAGTCTCTTATTCTAGTTTGAACACCAGATGTGGATCCTGACATAACGTTTGCACCATCGTATGTTTGTGCCACAAGAGGAATATCAGAAATGCCAAATTTTTTTAGAACAGAGAGAATTTCAATAGAAATATGTTCGGATCCTCTCCCATTTGATACATCATAAAATCCAATAAATCGTTCACATACATTATAGCTATTAGGAATAATGTATCTAACACATATTGATAATTGTTCTGTTTTATAAGATCTAATAGAAAAAAAATTATGAAAATAAAATTATATTAAAATATATTACCTACTAACTTATTTCTAAGTAATAGGAAAAAATATAATCTGTGGTAATAGTGTATTACCTTGCTTCATCACACATAATAGAGTACATTCCACAGTATTTTATTTCACTAATGATAGTATTTATTGTCATATTTGAACAAACTTCAAGTATACTATTTTGAATAATCCAACTTGTATAGTTAATTTTTCTGTTAAAAAAGTCTGAAAACTCTTTATCGTTCATTGCAAATAATGTACAAAGCTCTTTAAAATTTCCTGTAGATAAATAATTTATGATTTACAAGCTATTATACTATAAGTGATAGTAGCGGTACTAAAATGAAAACATATCTTCCTACCAGTATTAGAAACTGTTGATGACTTTTCATCATGACCTCTTAGAGCAAGTCCCTGTTTAGCACAAAAGAGGGTTATATTTATAAGAACTTTCATATACTGTCTATTTTTTAAAATWTCATTTTTTTTAGCAGTTGATAATTGAGTAACTATAGTGCCAGTCAATTTTGAGCTTTTATAGCTATTATACTGGACAGTTGATGTTAAATGTTGAACAGTTTTTGAATGTTTTAACAACTTTTCATTCAACTAAAATAATGAATTAAAAATATAAAAGTAAAAAATATATATACATAGTTTTTATTAATCAACTTATTTTACTTCTGTTGAACATGTTATCGTTATGCATATGATCACTAAATAATAATTATTTTTAATTTATAGAAATAAATATCCAAACAAAAAACATACTTTTCTCCAATTGTTGTATCCAGTTGTAATTAAATTGTCAGTTTTTACATTCTTTGCAAAATGAATACAATTAAAACAAAAAACAGCATCACGAGACACACTATATTCTAACCATTCAAATTCAYTATAGTGTTTAGCATTAAAACTTCTATTTTGAGGTCCAAATTTTGTTAGTGGAAATATCTAGAAAAAAAAAATGCTTCAACTTTTTTTTTGTAAAATAAAATAATATAAGACACTTGGTATGTCAAAACAATTTAATATGTCAAACGTCAGTATGTATTAATCAAGAATCGTGTGATTTCTTGTTTTATTCTTATTACAGTTAATTATTATTTATTTCATTTTTACTYACYTGAAGTTTAGGTTGCTTTGGGCCCGAATCAATATCACCCAAATMAACAGACTGTATATTCAAATTTAAAACATTATTTTTTAGTTGAATGTTTTCATCATCATCATTATGTCCATCGTTCTGTTCATGGTTACATATTTTCTTTGCTTTTGATTCATCACTATGAGTTTCGACAGTCTCGTCCAAATTTTTTGTTGATGTATTTTGTTTAATTTTGTTTTTAAAATTAAAGATTGAAAACATGATTAAAATCGATTAATTAACACTCGTAAGTCGTAATAAACATACAATTGACGATGCAATATTGATCAATATATAATTTTTAGCAATACTAATATAACTATATAAGAAACGCCTCTAACACACCACATACGTAATACACTAATACGTAAATGTAGTGTTCTGTGTTACACACTGCACTGTAACCTAAGACCWTTAAATTTATTATAAATCTTAGTATCCTAGTAGACTGTGTTGTGTTTTTGTTGTGGCGTATCGGCGTATAGCCCGTATGCCAGACGTCATTATGACGAGAATATTTCCGTCCCTCGGGGAATACCAATACCAKATTATATTAGTATGTTAGGTAGGTACTGATAAATATACTATACAGATATATTATATAGCACAGACTATTTAAAATAACTAGGCCGCTTCGGCATCCTTATTTCCACTAAATTAAAATCAACACATCCGATAATTCAACATTATAAATAACAAAATGTTATATTATAAAAATTATTATTGTGTTATAACTTATAATTATTGTAATTCGATAAATTTTTAACTTTTYTTTCAAATTTTTAAACTATTTTTTAGGGGGTGCTAATTTTGAGTTAGGGGGTGCTAAGGACCCAAAGCACCCCCCCTAGTTGCGCCAATGAATATACTGTAGATTTTTTTCTCGTAGTCACTCAATCTAGGACTCTCTATATTTATTCTAAAAGTGTACACATTGTCTAGAGGCAACCGCTAGATAACTATATATTGTGTTGTGTACATTTCTAGACTACTTAATAGAGATTCCTAGCTAAAGTAACTTGTTGCGTTCCAAGTTGTTAATATATCACTATT